GCAGCTAGAACAAAAAATTTTTCACTGTTAAATAGGGCATTGTTTACACTATATATACCGCTATTCAAAACAGAAAATTTCGTACCTACGATTTTTTCAGAAAATGCCGCCTAAATGCCCACTGTGTCTTGGTGACCCTATGGATAATGGTTCGCCAGACTTCTCTATCCTTTACTATTTCTTTAAGATCTTGAAGACTTATTCCAGTATCTTCTTTAACAGTATCTAACCATCTTGTTCTGTCTGCCTCTTCTTCTTTTTCCTTCTACTTTGCTGAGCATCAGACACTTCTCTAATGAGTCTTCTCTTCTCATGATATGACCAAAATATTTGAGTTTTAGTTTGACTATTGAGGATTCTAATGATCCATCAGGTTTAATCTGATCTAAAACCGATTGATTTGTTCGTTTTGCAGTCCATGGTATATGAAGTAATCTTCTCCAGCACCATATTTCAAAAGCGTCAATTTTCTTCCTTTCAGCTTTCGTTATAGTCCATGTTTCACATCCATATGTAGCTACTGGAATAGCTAGACTATCCGAATTTTGGTTTTTAGTGTTACATCTCTATCTTTTGTAATTCTATTCAGATCAGTCATGGCTTTCCTCCCTAGGAGTAATCTTCTCTTTATTTCGTGGCTGCAATCTCCTGCTATGTGTATTGTTGATCCAAGGAAGTTAAAGTCTTTGACACTTTCTACATTTTCACCGTCTACTTCTATTTGATCTAATGTTATAGTTGACATGATTTTTGTTTTCTTGATATTGAGCAATAGACCAGCTTCTGCACTCTCTGTTTTAACTTTCTGTATAAGGTTTTTTAGATCTTCCTCACTTTCAGCTACCAATGTGGTGTCATCAGCATACCGAAGGTTATTGATGTTCCTTCCTTCTATCTTGAGATCAACTTGTATATTATCAAGCCCTGCTTTCCTCATTACATATTCCGCATATAGGTTGAAGAGATATGGTGATAAAATACAACCTTGCCTTACACCTTTTCTTATTTTAAACTATTCTGTATCTCCATGTTCTGTTCTAACTGTTGCTTCTTGATTTTCATACAAGCTCTTCATAAGGTGTATGAGATGTTTAGGAATACCCATTTCTTTCAGAATTTCCCATAGCTTATCATGATCGACACAATCAAAAGCTTTTGTATAATCGATGAAGCAGAAATAAAATTCCTTTTGATATTCTCTTGCTTTCTCCATTATCCATCGAATGTTAGCGATTTGATCTCTTGTGCCTCTTCCTTTCCTGAATCCTGCTTGTACATCTGGCAACTCTCTTTCCATATATGGTTGTAATCTCGCTTGTATAATCTTCAGCATTACTTTGCTAGCATGAGATATTAAGGCAATCGTGCGATAATTGGAACATTCTCTGGTGTCTCCTTTCTTCGGTATTGGTATATAAACTGATCTCTTCCAGTCGGTTGGCCATTGTAAAGTCCTCCATACCTGCTGACATAATGCAGTTTGCGTTTTGACTGCAGTGTCTCCCATATTCTTGAGTAACTCAACTGGTATTCCATCTATTCCTGTAGCCTTATTGTTAGCGATCCTTTTTAGGGCCCATTGAACTTCACTTTCTAATATATCTGGTTCCTGTTCTAATTCCTTTTCTTCAACAATTTCAATCGTGTTGAGATCTTTTCTATAGAGTGTTTCTGTATACTCCTTACATCTTTTCTTTATCTCTTCTCCTTCCGATAGACTCCTTCCCTCTTGATCCTTTAGTATTCCTGTCTTCGATGTGAATTTACCTTTTACTTCTCTGATTTTTTTAAATAGATCTCTAGTCCTCCCTTTCTGATTATCTTCCTCTATTTTCTGACATTCCTCTTTGAGGTATCTTTCTTTATCTTTTCTTGCTTGTCTTTGAAAGAAAGCATTCAGTTTTGTGAATGTCTGTTTGTCTCCCATACTCTTTGCTTTCCTTCTATTCTCAGCTATTTTCAGTGTATCTGTAGCAAGGGGGAAACAGCGGACTCCACACGCATGGAGTCATTTGGAGTCAAGTGGAGTCAAGTGAAGTCACTTGATGCGTTGGAGGTAATTGATGAGGTGGAATCAGGTGATAGGGTGGAGCCCACGAGAGAAATAGCAGACTAGATAGGATCCCAGTCTTGTGAAGTCACTTGGAGTCAAGTAGAGTCACCTGATGTGGTGTACTCAGAAGGTAAAATAAAAGATCCTATGCGATTCAATGGAGTCGGATGGACTCCGGGGATGTGATGGCTTATTTCAACTGTGAAGGACATTAGCTTTTCAACGAGCTCTAGCTCCCTTGAGCTGTGAGCTAGTATGAACTCGTTCATGGTTTATTCCCCAAAACGGAAGATTTTGCTCTATCAAAGGATCCAATTCCCAAAACAGAACAAAAGTTTTCCATTTTCGGGAAAACATTCCCATAACAGCAAATTTTTTGTTCTGTTATTTTTTCGTTCTGTTACGGGAACTGACGCCCTTGAAAAAGTAAATTTGTTCTGTTTTTGGGAATCGAATTTCATAACAGGACATTTGTTCTAGCATGGGAATACAACAATGACAAGTTTTTAAAAAAAGGCCAATAGACTCGGTCAGATATGACT